TGCTGTGTGGCTCTGTCTCTATTGCCGAACACACGGTGGATATCACCTTTCTCAAGTGTAACAAGCACTGGGAGAAGTGTGGCACAAAGGTTGTAAACTGGCCGCATGAGTAGAAGGAAGTACCCTTGATAGAGTACCGCGAGGAGGAGGAGGGCGTCTCGGGTACGCATGTTGTTGCTTTGATTGCGAAGTCAAATTGGTGAGATACGTCGATGGGGCGCCAATTTGTTCAGGCGGTGCAAGCAGCATCGGGAGTACCGAACTGGCTACTGATTTGGCTTTGTTATGATCTTGCGACACTCGCGTCATTTGCGAGGTGTGTTATGTCGCTCACGGTCGCCGTCGTTCGAATTTCCAAAATTCGAATGTGGGTCCTGTGGGACCAGGTTGCAATCAGTGCATATATATTTGTGTCCACGATGTTGTACGAATATCGGAGCATGCTGTTCGTGCACCCTCGAAATTCGAAATTGTTCGAATTTCGGGCAATTCTCTCAAAGGACACACGAACTAAGGACGTGTTACCTTAACGAAATCGATCCTTCGAAACATCGATTTCGAAGACGTGTAACAGGATAACCACGTGATAACCCATATACAGTAAAACTTGAGCTGAATGGAACACCACATATCATTTTCAGCAATCGATGTGTCACATAGATTAAGCCAATCGACGATTGATTGACCAGCACGCGCGTGCAGATCAAAGTACCGATAGGGAGTGCACCAGATTGTGCGACAGGTTGGGAGTTCGCAAATTCGCTTTGATATTCGGAAAAAAAAAAAAAAAAAAAAAAAAAAAAAAAAAAAACGGGACAAACGCGAGGCGCCTTGACAAACCACCACTCCAACCGTGAATGTTTATTTTGGTTGCCCTGTGTGTTGCGGATGTCGTGAAGGTTGGCAGCAAAAGCACTCTCGATTTTGGGGGATTGCGCACGGCGAGCGCGGGGTTGCGTGACTGACTCGAGAGACGGTATGTAAATTCACTTTGCTATATCGATGCAGCCATAAATCGTCATTATCGATATTGCAAATCGATCTGCACCACCGATCCTTCGATTTTCATTAAGGTAACGCATCCTAAAATTGGCTTGCAAGTGACATGCAGCTGAAATGCGACACCCACTGCGTCGACTACAGTACTTCAGACGTTTATCTCAACCGAGTGGCTATCTTCGTCATTTGACATTGCTCGTATCCATTACAGACAACTACGGAGTCGGTAGCCATTGCGGGTGGATGGAACGTCCCTCTAGACTCTCAGAGCGACAGCCTAAAAAACACCGTTGGATCATCCTCGCTGAATCTCCTCCATCTGATGAATCACGTGCCATGCGAGCCCGGCGCAGATCCAAATTCTTGCCCTTCGCTACAAATGGTTCCACGAGCACCTACGGTTCGGCGGTTCGGTTTTGCGGTTCGTGCTGAGAATATGATTTTCTTCTGATTTCATTTATGATCTGTGTCTTTCTGTGCATTTGAAATCTCCTATTGCAGGGGCACTCCAAACCATGATTGATCAAGCATGCCTTCGCGCAACAAATTCCAGATTGACTCAATCCAACCCTTTCTAACCTGTGGGACCTCTAACCTTACCCTTGGGCCCTTTACCCTCGCTGGATTCCCTCACATCCACACCTCTTGCCTCCTCATCCCAACTCTCCGCGCCCTGCATGCCTCCCTTTACTTCCCTCCCCCTTATGCCGCTGGGTCGCACCAATAAGGACCTTCTTACAAGGAGCCTCCCTAGCCATACAGACCTTTTTCCCGGGGGTTACCTAGTTCTTCCTTTTAGCCAGATGGATCTTCTCATAAGGAGCATTCCTGTGCAAGATTCCAGTGGCAGGCACATTTTTTGCCAGGGTCTCCCCATGCAACCTTTCAGCCATACAGACCTTTTTGGGGGGGGTCTCCTAGTTCTTCCTTCCAACCAGATGGATCTTCTCACAAAGAGCCTCCCTGAGCAAGATTCCACCAGTAAGGGCATTTTTGGCCAGGTCTCCCTGTGCAATCTCCCAGCCATACGGACCATTTTATCGAAAATCTCCCCGGGTAAGCTTCCAGCCAGATGAACATTTTTGGGTGTAAGTGTTAAATGATATATTTTGTTGTATAATTGGTAGGCTTGGTAAGTTTATCAAACTCTACTATAGAGGGTCCAACTCCCTCCTTGTATGCCTCTCTCTTCCTAGTCTCCCCCTCTTTTCTCTCCTCAACTTTCTCCTTCCTAAACCTCACGCCATTCCATGGCTTCCTCCTACTCCTAGCTACCTTATTCTAACATGGTTTCAGAGCAGGCCCCTTTCGCTCGGGCCTTCTCCTCACGCTTCCGCAGTGTACTCCCCCCCCCCCCGTCACGCCGCGCTGGTCCCGCCCCTCCGCACTGGCCCCGTCATGCCGCGCTGGCCCCGTCACTCCGCGCTGGCCCCGTCACGTCGCGCTGGCCCCGTCACGTCGCGCTGGCCCCGTCACGCCGCGCCGGCCCCGTCACTCCGCGCCGGCCCCGTCCCTCCGCGCTGGCCCCGTCACTCCGCACCGGCCCCGTCACGTCGCCGTGCCTCAGTGCCTCAGTGCCGCCGCGCCGCCGTGCCGCTGGGTCGCCGTGCCGCCGTGCTGTTGTGCTGCCGTGGCGGCTTCGCCACGCCAGCGCACTGACAGCTGCGGCCAGCGCCCTGTCATAGGCGCCAGTCGTAATGCCCCCATGCCAGTAAGCGTCGCGCCAGCCATGGTGCCTTGCTGAAGATTCGCCCTCTCATGCCAGTAAGCGTCGCGCCATCCATGGTGCCTCACTGAAGATTCGCCCTCTCCCGCCAATAAGCGCCGTGCCACCCATGGCGTATCGCTGAAGATTCGGCCCCTCTCCCCCCCCCTTCCCCTGCGCCTCCTCTTCCTCCTGCCGCAGCTGCTGTCTTCTACCCCGTCGGCGCCTCGCCGTGCCACACCGCCGAGAGCCTTCAGCCATGGCCGTTGCCCACGCTGCCTCTCGTCGGGGGATGCCACCATGCCAAGCCCGAGGGGTAGATACCCGGCTGATCCCAAGCATGGGGGTGTAAGGGGTTAGGGGGTGTGTGTGTTGGATGGGCTTGTGACTACCAAGCCTAGGGGGTGTGTTATATAATTGGTAGGCTTGGTAAGTTTATCAAACTCTACTGTAGAGGGTACAACTCCCTCCTTGTATGCCTCTCTCTTCCTAGTCTCCCCCTCTTTTCTCTCCTCAACTTTCTCCTTCCTAAACCTCACGTCATTCCATGGCTTCCTCCTACCCCTAGCTACCTTATTCTAACAGTTAGTACCTCGTGCAATCACCCAGTTATACTAACCTTTTGACACGGGGTCTCTCTGTGCAATCTTCCAGCCACAACACCACCATGCCATCCAGCCTCCTGAACCCACCCACCATGCCATCAAGCCTCTTGGATCCAGCTGTCAGCTGGTTTTCTCCTGCAGAAGAGCTTTAGAAGCTACAGGCAGCAGCAGCAACAAAGGAGCCTTGCGTGCCAGCCCTGTATGAGTGCAAGGAGTGTGGGAGGATGTTCAACCAGCTGCAGTCTCTGGGAGGACACATGTCTAGGCATAAGAGAGGTATGCTGGCTGGCTTCTGCTTCGCATGAAGCTTAATTTTCTAACCCCAATTGCGTGTCTGGTGTTGGAAGCTGTTTTTGCTTCTTGCTGTTTTTATTGTGGTCTATCGTGGTTTCTTATTCGACCATTTTTACCCTGTCCGCGGAGAAGAGGCCGAAGATAATGCGCAAGAGAAAGGTGGATGCATTTGCCCGAGACATAAACCCAGCGGACAGACCAGCCCAAATCTCCTCTCAGGGAGCAGCAGTAGCAGCAGTCATCTCTCCAGGCACTCCTTGAATCTCAGCAGCAGCTGCTGCTCTACCAGCAGTTGCTCCACCTTCGGCTCACCATGCTGCCAGATGGGGTGCCGGTGCCTCCTGCATCTCCCTTGGCGGACCCTCTCTCACAGCAGCAGCAGCAGCAGCGGCAGCAGCAGTAGCCTGGCAGTAAAAAGGCCCTGGTGGTGGTGCCTCCTGCATCACCCCTGGTGGACCCTGTTACACGGCAGCGTGAAAGTGGGGGTCATTCTGGAACAGTCCGGGAGTATGGCGCGTGTAAAATTCCTGCACGATGTGGGATTTTGGGGTCTGTTGGGGTGAAGAGGGAGGAGAATCACCTTTTTGAAGGGATGGGAGGAGAATCTTGGAGTGTGCCCAAGGGAGAGCGGTCATCTACTGAGAAGCATGAGAAGAAGTGTGGTAAAGATTCTGCTAGTATGAGGCGTGGCACCTCAAGTGGCTCGCGTGAGATGGACATTGACTTGAATATGTTTCCCTCGTAGGAAGTCCAGCCATAAGATAATACTGTTACAGCTTTGTATATTAGTCTGTAGATACACAGCTGTTTATTTCATAGGTGTTTTTGCTATCTTGCTGTCGCTTTCATTTGCATTTGTGCAATGCTTTAATGAGTAATGAGGTATTCTTTTGTGCTGATTTTGGTCACTAGCTTCATGTAGAGAAATATGTGAATGATATGCTGAGTCGGAGCAGCGGCATCTGGGTAGAGCTGCGCAATAGCGGGGTTTACGGCTTCATCGCATCTCTGCGTGACCCTCCACGTCACACCTGTCATTATGGCCTCGCTCTGGAAAAGGAGCAGGCACATGGAAAAGGAACAGACATGTTTCTAAATGGTATCTCATCCTACTGTCATCCGAGAAGCTTGGAAAACCAATCACGCGCGTTTTATTAAAATTTTCAAGCACGCGATTGGTTTTCAAACTTTATCAGATGACACAACGACGAGATGACATCGTCCAGAAACCGGCCTTCGTTGGTTTGGAAACCATTGGCCCAAACATCGTTCCGAACCGCAATTTGGTTAGGCTCGGGGCATTCGTTTCCATTTCCATACCTTTTCCATGTGCCTGCAGAACACAGTCTCAGTACACCATCTGTCATCGCAGTCTCTGACCACCCTTGCATGTTTCCCACATCCGCCCCTCGCAGTAGCCAGCTTGGATCTGTGAAACGTGCTAATTCCGTTCAACGCGCGCCGGTAATGTCCTTTTTCTGGCTCCAATCGAGGGAGTCTACTCGACCTCCTTATTGTCACGCCTCTCCATGTGCTCTACTGTACTTCCGAACTTGCTTCTCGGTAACCCCAGAGGCCCCTCGAGCTTCCCCAGTTCTCTTGTCCCGTCCCACTCGTGGCTGCTGTCCGCTCGCGGGTCTCTGGTCGAAGCTTGCTGCATGGACCATCTTCAGCGTGCACGTGTCGCGTGCAGTGCATGTAATCGTTCTCTGCTGGATTCCAGAGAAGTCTCGCGTTCGCTGCAAAAAAGGCGACCCACATGCAAATCGGATCGACGTGTCTCCTCGAATCCTCGCACGAGTGCGAGATTTCATCGCCCGTCCCATCGCCTCCCCACGTGACGACGACGTTTCGAAAATAGATTCAGGCTGAGACTACGTGGCCATATCCAGATTTCAGGCAGCAATTTTATCGCCAAGAGTGCCTCTTCGCAGATCCGCCAGCTTTTTAGCCTCCAAATTCCTGCCATGTTGCTCCCGAGCGTGCTGCTATTGAGCCAGGCCATCATGCCAGGCTCTGTCAACATGTGCGAGCACTGTCGGCTTGCAACGACGCAGCAGCACTGCCCCAAGATCTGGCACCTAACCGAGGAAGCTTGCACCATGCAGCTCCAATTACAGTCACCTGCAGACGGCTTGCAGACAGCCTTGTCATGCCAGTCAGGTTTGGTTGAACCCGCAGTTTGCTCGCTTCCCAGTTGAGAGGAGATTCGCCTTCAGCTCGATTGCGTGTGTACAACAGCGCCGACGGATTGATCCCACGAGTTACTGGCGTGTGCTCTCTTGTTGCCAGTCGGAGAAGCTGCGCTGGAAAACAGCTTGAAATCACTGGACCACTGGCAGTGGTTTATTCCTGGAACAGACAGAGTGGGAGATAGTAGCATCTGTTTTGCCACGCGTACCGCTTTCTAACTCCTCCCAGCAGGTGTTTTGGTACACAGCGGCACGGCAAGCTACGAGTGCGGCTAGCTATTGGTAAGACAGCACAGCAAGCTGCCAATTCAGCGTAGTCGGACAACCTATGGACAAAATACTCATCTCACCTGCGACGGCCGGGTGTACGGACGCGGCCGCCGTTGGATCCTCTGCCGTTGGATCCTCTGCCGCATTCGGAAACTACCCCGCATCCGCCGGTGTTGGGGAGTTTCCTGCAACAGGCAGCACCAGAGGCCTCCGCCTGGGAGACTCGCTCCCTGCCTCGGCCTCAGCACCTGCCGGCGCGTTTGCAAGCTCTGGCGTCTTCGGATCTTCCGAATCCGAACCTGCTTTGGATTTTCCCTCGTCCGGATTCGACTGGAACGTTAGAGGGGCTCCTTTCTGCGGCTTAACTGCATCCCTGCCTGAGCCTTTGCCTGTATCGCACTCGCTGTCCCCGTTACAAGCAACCCCGTCTATGGCTGTAGCGCCAGATCCCTCCCTGGAGTTTACTGCTGAGAGTGCGTTGGCTGTAGGGTTCACCAGCAGCGGCAGCAGGCGTGCACGTGAGAATCCCCTGCTACAACCTCATATGGAGTTCGAGGCTCATATGGGGTCTCAGCCTTATGTGGAGTTTGAAGCTTGCACTGAGAGGATGGAGGAGGGGGCAGAGGAGGGCAGAGGAGGAGGAGGAGGAGGGGAGTGGGAAATTCAGGAGCAGGGGGGTGTGAGAGGCGTGGCAGGCGAAGCCCACCCTTCAGACGTTAAGCGGAGATTTTTGCCAAGTGGTATCGGAGAAAGAGGGAGAGTGAGGGGGAGGGGGAGAAGTGGCGGGAGCAGGAAGCAGCAGCGGGTGCTGCCGTGTGAGGCAGGGTTGAAGCAAGCTGCTGCTTATAGGGAAGCTGGGGGAGAAGGAGGAGGAGAAGGAGGAGGAGGAGAAGGAGGAGGGGAGGAGAACTTGTTTGGTTTGCAAGAGCAGTCAGGCTGTCCCGAGGTGCAGTGGTTACCACGGCACCAGCAGGAGCAGCGGCGGTATGAGCAGCAACAGCAACAAGAGCAGCAGCTGCAAAAGCAAAAGCAGCAGCAGAACCTGCAGCAGCAGCAGCGGCAGCAGCAAAAGCGGTGCCGATTCTGTGGCAAGGGGTTTGATTCCCCTCGAGCTTTGGGTGGCCACATGAACCTGCACAGGCGAGGTGAGGTGCGGCGAGGTGCGGGGAGGTGCGGTGAGGTGCGGTGAGGTATTACCCTGTTCATACTCGCCTTGTCCAAAGCCCAACCCTGCGCCCTGCGAATTGTTCCTTTTTCCCCCTTGAGGCCGTTAGTTAAAGGCCCGTTGTAACTTGTCTGTTTTGCTTGTCATGTTTGCCGCCCCACTTTCCCCTATCAGAGAAGCGGTATGAGGATCGCCTTGTGCTGCAGGCGGGGGAGAGGGCACTGGCGGAGATGCGATCGCAGCAGCAGCAACAGCAGCAGCGAGCCAAAGAGGAATGCTTGCAGCGGCTCCAGCAGGCGCTTCAGCACCAGCACCACCAGCAGCAGCAGCAGCAGCAGGGGCAGGGGCAGGGGCAGGGGCCGTGTGGCTCGGTGTCCGCAACAAGAGTGCTGCCGGCGCCACAAGCAGCGCCAACTCTCCCAGCATTGCCAGCAGCACTAACTGTACCGGCACCACCAGCGGCACTAACTGTACTGGCACCACCAGCTGCGCTAGCGGTGCCACCTTTACAAGCTATCGCGACCGCACATGCTTCGTTGCCCACGCCAGCACTACGCCCTTCGGGGGGGTCTCTACCAACGGAGCTGCCTCTATGTGTAGGCGCGGGGGGGCAACCGGGGAGCGGAGCCGGAACCGCTACTTTTGAGTCGTCTCAAAAGCCAATGGAGCTGCCTCTAGGCGTAGGCGCAGGGGGGCAACTGGGGAGCGAAGCCGGAGCTGCTACTGGCATGCCGCATCCGGGGGGTTATCTGCCACACGCCTGCACACGTCCTGCTGCCTTCCGCCTCTTAACCAGCACGGGAAGCAGAGCTACTGGGGGTGTGCCTCACGCTGCACCGGGGCAGATGCATCGTGGTGCATCCACTGGCGTAAGCCATGGTACTTCCATGGCTATGCATCATGCTGTGCCAGCTCCGATGCGTCCTCGTGCAACCGTGGTCATGCCGCTTGAAGACCCGGCTTCCATGCGTCCTGCAGCAACCACAGACATGCCTCATGGCCTCTCTTCTGGCTCGGCTGCAACCCCTTTAGCAAGCAGCTGGCCCAGGAGACATGCTAACTCTCTGGTGTTTGCCCAGCCAAGGCCCCCTTCACCTCATATATTCCAACAGCAGCAGGCTCCGTTGCTCATGCCTCACACGTCCTCGCCTCAAACCAACCTGCCAGCCCTTCCCTTTCACGTTGCAAACCCCTTCCTCTCCTCCCTCACACCTGAATTCCTTGAATCTCTCTTCCTCAGGACTGGCCCTTCAGAAACCCTCTTCCTAGCTCCCACACCCCCAACAGCCCCCACACCCCCAACGGCCACCACAGGCTCTCCAGCAGCTACAGCAGCCACACCTGCTACACCTGCTACAGCCACTCCATCCGCTCCTGTGTTCAGTTCTGCCCCTCCGCTCGTTCCTCAAGCTCACAGTTATTCACCACCCCTCCCTGCAAGTGCTGCTGTGACTCCATCGCCTGTGCCCCAGCCTCCTTTTTTTCAACCTCACCTGCCTGAGCCTCCTTGTCCTCCTCTGCCTGGCGCTCCTGTGCCTCATCTACCTCAGGTGCTTATGGGGCAGGCGTTTCAGCCGCATGCTCTCAGGTTCCTCGAGTCCAGGGCTCCGCAGCAGCAGGGGTGGCTGCGACCACACGGGCTGCAGCAGAGGCAGGGACAGTGGGAGCAGCGGCAGCAGCGGCAACAGCCGCAGCAGGAGGAGCAGCAGCACCAGCACCAGCAGCAGTTGCTAAGTCAGCTGTTGTCACATGCAGGTGTTACAGGTGTTGCTTTGCTGGCACCTCCTCAGCCTGCATTTCCGACTTCCCTGTGGCACCTGAGTGGTTCATTCGCTTCTCTGCCTGCCCCCCCCACTGCAGGTGTTACTGGCGTTCCTGTGACTGCAGAGCCTCCTTCTCAGCCTGCATTTCCAGCTTCCCCGTGGCACCTGAGTGGGTCAGGATATCCCCTGCCTGTGCTGCATGATTCAATCCCCGGGGCAGCAACGCTGCCACAAGCAGCATTGCCAGCACCAGCAGCAGCAATGTTAGCGGCAACACTAGCACCTGCCCAGTCACGCCAGCAGCAGCAGCAGCAGAGCCTTGAAGTGACTCACCAGCTGCTGCAGCAGCAGCTGTGCTACGGGCAGCTTGTTCCTGCTACTCCTGGCGTGAACCCATGGCAAGAACAGACTGGGCAGGGGGCATTGCAGGGGGCATTGCAGGGGGCATTGCAGGGGGCATTGCAGGGGGCAGGGAGCGGAGCGACCAGGCAGGAAGAAATCGCGAGGCTGGAAGCAGAAATCACGAGGCTGCAGCAAGCTCTGCAGCAAGGGCATCTTGAGGGGGAAGGGGAGGGATGTTTCTCTGAGGCGCTGCAACAGGGGCATCTTCTTGAGGGGGAAAGGGAGGAGCTCAACTTGCAGGAACAGGGAGTGAAAGGTTCGGTCAATATGGAGCAGTTGTTGTGGGGTGATGAGGACTTGAAGGGTCCATTGAAGAGGGATGGGCTGGGTGACTCTGAGGTGTTTAGGTTTGACCGGCTGTCCATTTTTTAGGATGTGCTGGGTGGAGGAAGGCCCCTGGGGTGTCATTGCTGGGTTGGAGCTTGCTTTCCTTGTTAGCTCGTGTGCCTGTGAATTTGGTATGTAGGGTTGTCCACTCAATGCTCAACGCTGTACAACAGGCCGAGGGTGTCTCTCTCTTAGACAAAGTACTGTCAGAACTCAGTCACTAACCACTGAGTTAAAAGGGCTTGCACCTGTGACCTTGAGTTTAAGGGCTTGAACCGGGTGTGTACACGCCGTAACCCCCCAGGCTCTGCACCTGTGACCCTGAGGATCTCAAGGGCAACCCCAGCGTGTCTCTTGACATGTACTAGCGTGATTGCGTAGCCTTCCGTAACACATTACAGAATGTACCATGTTAGTGCAGCAGCTGTAGACCCCATCACGTGGTTCCAGAATTGCAGTTCAACACTTCACAAAAGATGAGTGCTAAGGATCGCTCTGATCCAGAGCACGATGTTTCCTAAGAGATGTACCGGTAAGAGCTCAACAAGTGCACCCTGCTAGGATACAAGGGGATCCTACCAGCTGACATGTGAGCCGACTGTAGAAACACAAATACATCACAATACCAGTAGAAGGAATCACGACAAGAGCACCCTTCCCGTTGTCACATCAACCACTGCAGCAGGAAATGATGCTAGCGCATCAACAGGGCTTGCAGCAGTAGTAGTAGCAGATCCGTGGGAGGAAGAGGAAGTGGCTGTAGCAGGTACACGGGAGGAGGCGACAGCAGCATGGAGGGAGAGGGGCGAGCGCCAGAGGTGGTGGGCCGCTGCACTCATGCTCTGAGCCTCGGAGGCGCGCATTGGGAAGCCCGGCAGGGCAGCCGCATAGCGCTCTGCGTTGGAGGTGGAGTGGAAGTAGAGGGATGAACAGTAAGATGAAGAGAAAGGAACAGCATATGAGGTGACCCCGCATCGAGGGAGATGGGTGAGCGCCAGAGATGGTGGGTCGATGCGCTCATGCGGTGAGCCTCAGAGGCGCGCATGTGCTGTAAAGTCGAGCTGGAAGCACTCTGTTCTTGGGGTCCTTGAGTCTGCTTATGAGACGGCTTCTGAAACCACGTTCAGGCGACTTCATAGCTGACATATCATCCACTTAAAATGAGAGGGTGGGGGGGAAAGCGGGAAGGGAGGGGGGGCAGGTTACTCACCTAGAGTGAATGCTACCGTAATCCCCTGGATACATGCCCACCCTTCTATAAAGCCCATTGGGCTTATGCAGTGCAAGTGGGCTTATATCCGTTATTTCATTATAAGCCCACCCATCTTTTTGATAAGGGGTTTTGTATAAGCGCATCTCCTCTGCGTAACAAAACGACTGAAACGCGATTTTTTTTTAATTATTATTTTTTGTTTTTTGGAAACTCCCGCCAGCCCTCCCGCGCCCCTTCCGCAGCCCTTCTGAGCACCTTGCTAGCGATGAGCGTTTTTTCTGCTCACTAGCTCTGGCTCTGATTGGTGGTTCCACAGGGGATGTGCTGGCGAAATATTCTCGAGTCGTTTCCACCAAATCTATCCACACGGCCCCCTCTGTAGAATGATCCGTTCAATCACAAATTCAATGAGCTACATTTTGGTGCCCTCAAATATGTTTTCCATAAATGTATTCTTAATAAGCCCATGGGCTTATAAAGCTTATTCGATTAAAATCGCATTTAAAAGGGGTTCCCCTACAAGCACATATGCGCCTCTATCCGGGGGATTACGGTATGAGGTCGAGCTGGAGCACTCTGTTCTGAGACGACTTCTGAGACGACTTCTGAGACGAGTTCTGAGACGGTTTTCGCTTCCAAGGGTGAGAGCGGGCGGGGGGGCGAAGAGTGGAAGGAGGGGAGAGAGTCTCACCTAGAGTGAACGCTATGAGGTCGAGCTGCAGCACTCTGTTCTTGCGGTCCTTGAGCTGATCTGCCTCTGCACCACCAAAATTCATCCACAGGCAAGAGAGAAGTGGAGGTGTTAGCGCACTAGACTGACTGGAGCTCCTCAGCCCCTGAGTCCGACTCCCTGACCCCCTGACCCCCTGACCCCCTGACCCCCTGACCCCCTGACCCCCTGACCCCCTGACCCCCTGACCCCCTGACCCCTGACCCCCTGACCCCCTGACCCCCTGACCCCCTGACCCCTGACCCCCTGACCCCCTGACCCCCTGACCCCCTGACCCCCTGACCCCCTGACCCCCTGACCCCCTGACCCCTGACCCCTGACCCCCTGACCCCTGACCCCCTGACCCCCTGACCCCCTGACCCCCTGACCCCTGACTCCCTGACCCCCTGACCCCCTGACCCCCTGACCCCCTGACCCCCTGACCCCCTGAGTCCGAGTCCCTGAGTCCGAGTCCCTGAGTCCGACTCCCTGAGTCCGAGTCCCTGAGTCCGAGTCCCTGAGTCCGAGTCCCTGAGTAGCTTTTTTGGGCGTCCCAACAAATAGTGCCCCTGAGCCCCTCACCTGGTGTGCTGACGCCACAGCAGCACATGGCATGTCAACACAGCAGCAGCACATGGCATGTCAACACAACAGCAGCACATGGCATGTCAACACAACAGCAGCACGTGACATGCTACCTTCTTCTGTGCCTTCGGCTGAAGCGCTGGCACCTGCTCCGGCCAGCAGCGTCAGCCGGTAATCCAGATTGTCCCACTGCGACGCCTCTAAGAGAGCGAGGGAGCGCCGAAAGAGGCCCTGGTGGGACAGGGGCGGGTAGCACATAGGGAAAAAAAAAAAAAAAAAAAAAAAAAAAAAAAAAAAAAAAAAGGAGCTTAAGCACTCCACTTCTGAGGCTCCTCTCCATAGATAGGTGAACAAATAAACAAATATATTAATGAAAAATCAGCGACGCACAACGGCTTTCAGCAACTGAAATGAAGAGAGATGCCGTGGAACATAATCTTGTGGAAATATATAGGTGGCCCAAAATGAATTTAGGGAAAGAAGAAGAAGAAGAACAAAAACACAGCCGTTTCATACCTCTGCAATCATGCCCTCCCCTGAGTGCTGCAGCCTCCCTCGCTGCGCGTATGTGTCGCCCAAAAGAGACAAAATGGCTCCCACGACTGGATTGAAGTCTGAGCGATCTGCCATGGATGGAAGGGGTACGAGCACAGAAAACATTTGATGTCTTAGCTCCCCATGGCGGCGAGATGCGACAGCCATGAAAGGGGTTAGAGGGCAGGAGACATTATGATGTCTTGCTCCTCATGGCCGTGAGGTGTGACTGCCATGGAGCGGGAAATGAGAGAAGACGGGACGAAAGGTGCACTGAGGGAAGCGGCCCGCAATCTTAAGAAAGATACAATGTGGCTCCCACAACTGGGATGAAGTCTGAACGGTCAGCCATTGAAGGGGTACGAGAGATGTATGACTGTCAGGAGAGAAAAGATGAGGAGGAAAGGAACAGGGGAGGAAGGGGAACAGCGAAAAAAAAAGGGGGGGGGGAGGGGGGAAGGGAAGAGGAAAACGAGAGACGGAGGCGAGTGGCAGAGAAAAGGGATGCAGGAGAAATGAAGGGCGAGGGGCGGAACCGATGATGTTTGGAGGGAGGAAGGGGCGGAAAGAAGGGTGAGATAAATAATGCTAATGCTTGTGGCCTGAGGCGGAAGACAAGCTATGCGTGAGATGACATGTGGCATGTGGCACAGTGGCACAGTGGCACAGTGGCACGTGGCACAGTGGCACAGTGGCACAGGCAGTGGCTGCCTCTTACCATCTATGGCTTCTGCCTCCCTTAAAGCTGCTGTGAAACTCTCTTCAGCTGCATCAAACTTCCTGCCAGCAGCAGCAAACATGAAGCAACACCAAGCCGCACCAAGCAGCACCACGCAACACCAAGCAGCACACCACGCAAAACGAGAGGCGAGTTTGAGTGGAAAGAAACGGGAGCAAGAGCAAGAGCAAGAGCAAGCACCACGCGCACACGATGCGAAGCCAAGAGTGTTGAGACGCAGAGGACACAACGTGTGCACCTGCGCTAACAAGTAGATACCAAACGCCAGACAGCAGCAGAGGGGGACTCAAAACATCCGTGTGGAACCCTCTTGCCCTCGCCTGACAACCCTACCCTTGCAGCAGCAGCAGCAGCAGCTGCCCCTGGCCCGCAAGAGTCCCCACTCGTGCTAAGAAAGACAGCCAGCCGGGCTGACCACCCTACCCTGTGTCAAACCCTCCCTGTGTCTACCTCTGGCCCTCGCCTGACAACCCTCCCGTGCAGCAGCAGCAGCTGGCCCTGGCCTGCAACGGCCCCCACTCGTGCTGAGAAAGACAAACCCTCAGGCCAGACCCAGTGTCAAACCTTTCCCCAGTGTCAAACCTTTCCCCATTGTCAAACCTTCCCTGTGTCAAACCTTCCCAGTGTCAAACCTTCCCTGTGTCAAACCTCGCCTACCCTTGCAGCAGCAGCAGCTGGCCCTGGCCTGCAAGGGCCCCCACTCGCACAGCTGCTGCCGGGTCCAGGGAGGGCGAGTGAGAGGGAGAGACTGACGAGGCAGGTGAGGGTGAGTTGGTAGGAGAGGAAGAGGAGGTCGAGGAGGGGATAGGAGACGTCGACGAAGGCAGTGAGGAGTAGTTCTGGATCAGCTGGCTGTAGTATGACGTGGCTTGCTCCCATTGGCCGACGGAGTGCAGGTGCATCGCCATTGCCAGCCGGGCCAGCCCTGTGGCCGGCACTGCGTTGCAGTCGGGCGGCTCGAGCTCGTCTGCTTCCTGGAAGTGCTCTCGCGCTGGGCGTCATGAGGATGAAAGGAAACGGGCGGCAGAGAAGGGAGGGACAAAAGCACAATCAGGAGCCAAGTGGCCTGAATTCCGCAGGGTATTTTTGAGAAGTCTCAAAAACGCCTGGCCAATTGTGTAAGGGAGCTTCAGAAGGGTGCAGCGCGTGAAGGAAGGGTCTGCTCTGATTCACATCAATGTGAACGACAGGGTTAGACGGCAACGTAAACACACGCATGCCCATTGTATGGTTACCAGCAGCAGTGTTACAGGGTTACCAGTGGCAGTGTGGCCGCACAGCTGCTCCACCAGCCCCACGGAGCAGAGCACCCGGTATCGCAGGGCTGCCAACCCTGGTGGTGATGGTGATGACAGCACTGCTGCCGCTGATGCGGCTGCTGAGTCAGGGCCAACTTGTGTTGCTGGCGGTGGCGCCAGTGGTTGCAGCAGGGTTGCTGCTTCCCTGGCAGACTCCATGGCATTGGCGTCCTGAAGAAGAGAGGGAGGGGAGGGGTTGGGGGGGGGGAAGGGGGTGGAGGGAGCAACGCCAGTGGTTGCTGAGGGAAGGAAGGAAGCAGCACCAGAGCTGCTGCTTCCCTCTCTGGCAGACTCCATGGCATGGGCGTCCTGAGGAAGGGAGGGCGGGGAGGGCGGAGAGCCTGAGAGGGCTTTTGAGGCGCCTCAAAAGCACTCCATGGCATGGGCGTCCTGCGGAAGAGGGGGCGGGGAGGGGGGAGAGCCTGAGAGGGGGAGGAGGGAGCAACGCCGGTGGTTGGGCGCGACGCTAGTGGTCGGCGCAATGCGGCTGCCCTCCTGGCAGACTCCATGGCATGTGCGTGTGAAGAGCGAGAGGGAACAGGGCGGGAGGTGGGTGGGAAGGGGGAATCGAGGGGTTGACTTGGGAACGTGGGGATCGGGTGCGGTTATGGAGGAGAAGCGTGGGGGACATGGCAGTGCGTAAGAAGATTAGGTTGGAGACCTGTTTAATTTGAGACCTGTTTAGTTTGAGAAATCTAAGAACTAATCTTCTTACACACGGTGTGGTTACGGCGGGAAAGCGTGGGGGGTGTGTGTGGCAGGGAATGTTAGAATCATGGCAGAGTGCCGAGAGGAAAGGGACGCCGTACGAAAATTGCCATGCCAGCGCAACGGATTCAAGTCGACTCTAAATTCAAGCTACAGCCTACAAAGTAGCAATTGCCATGTCAGCGCAACGGATCAGCCTCCGTTATAAGCACACTCACTGCATGGCCGCTCAGATGGATTCGCACAACCTCCTCCAGAGCTCCAACTGCCACAAGGCAAGCAACGATTGGCTGATTAGCAGTTGGCCAGAAACAGGCCTGACTGGCGCAGCTACTACGACCAACCACAGCACAAGGCCTCCCTCTCTAGCACTCTCGACCAGGGCTTATGCTAGGTTCTTGGGGCGCTCGGAACACCCTGTCAGCATAAGCCCTGCTCTCTACCCTACCCGCTCTGTAACACACTCTCCACTCCATCGTACCAGCTCTCTCATATCTGGGAGATGGGAGAGATGGGAGTTTTCCAGTTTTTACCATCTCATATCTCCCATTCCCATACCTCTCCCCCATGCCCCTCTATTGCGCCCACCTCTCTCCCACAGGTGTATTTTCCCCCATCGCTGCTACCTTTTCCAACGCCTCAACAATCACCCCATTTCCACCCCTTCTCATCCATCTTCACCCCTCTCTGTCCCACACACACACCCACCTCTCTCGCACAGCCCTGCATCCCCCATCTCTGCTACCTCCTCCAACACCTCCACAGTCTCTCCCTTTCACCGCACACGCAGGCCGCACACCAGCATACCATACGGTCCATACCCCTTCTCACAAACCCACCTCTCTCGCACAGCCCCGCATCCCCCAACTCTGCTACCTCCTCCAACGCCTCCACTGCCCCGGGGTTGTCATGCCTGCAAGGGGGGAGGGGGGTTCATAGGGAAGCGTGAGGGTGACGGAGGAGTGGAATGCGGTGGAGAGAGTAAGAGGAGCCATGGAGTGCGGCAGAGTACGGATGGCTCTTCTTGTCGGTTGTCTGCGGCAGACTATGGATGGCTCGACACATTGCGCCCACATGGGCACGAGAATAAGACATCAATTCTGCATCTCAATGTATGACGCGTACACACATGCAGCATGCATGCACTCTCATGTGCAGAGCAGCTTTGAACATGAGCGGCCAAGAATCCGTGAATGACACATACACATGCAGTAGGCACACATACACATGCAGTAGGCACACATACACATGCAGTAGGCACACATACACATGCAGTAGGCACACATACACATGCAGTAGGCACACATACACATGCAGTAGGCACACATACACATGCAGTAGGCACACATACACATGCAGTAGGCACACATACACATGCAGTAGGCACACATACACATGCAGTAGGCACACATTCACATGCAGTAGGCACACATACACATGCAGTAGGCACACATACACATGCAGTAGGCACACATACACATGCAGTAGGCACACATACACATGCAGTAGGCACACATACACATGCAGTAGGCACACATACACATGCAGTAGGCACACATACACATGCAGTAGGCACACATACACATGCAGTAGGCACACATACACATGCAGTAGGCACACATACACATGCAGTAGGCACATATACACATGCAGTAGGCACACATACACATGCAGTAGGCACACATACACATGCAGTAGGCACACATACACATGCAGTAGGCACACATACACATGCAGTAGGCACACATTCACATGCAGTAGGCACACATACACATGCAGTAGGCACACATACACATGCAGTAGGCACACATACACATGCAGTAGGCACACATACACATGCAGTAGGCACACATACACATGCAGTAGGCACACATACACATGCAGTAGGCACACATACACATGCAGTAGGCACACATACACATGCAGTAGGCACACATACACATGCAGTAGGCACACATACACATGCAGTAGGCACACATTCACATGCAGTAGGCACACATACACATGCAGTAGGCACACATACACATGCAGTAGGCACACATACACATGCAGTAGGCACACATACACACATACATTCTCATGTGCACGGCGGCTTTGAACATGAGCAGCCGTGCTGCCTGCGATGCTGCTGCTTCTGACGCTGCCACCTGCCCCCGTTGAATCCTCACCCTTCAACATCCACGCATGCACTAAACACACACATGCAGCAGACATACATACATTCTCATGTGCAGGGCGGCTTTGAACTTGAGCAGCCGAGCTGCCTGCGATGCTGCTGCCTGCCCCTCTTGCGCCTTCAGCATGGTGGCTCCGTGCTCCACCACTCTTAGTCCCTCCTGCACCGCTGTTGCTAGGATGGGAGGGAGGGAGAAATAGTTGGAGAAGTGCCAGAATCACAAGTCAGTAACCCAGTAACCCTAAACACCCTGCGCCTTCAGCATGGTGGCTCCGTGCTGCACCACACTCAGGGCATCCTGTACTGCTGCTGCTAAGATGGCAGGGGAGGAAGACATCAGACGAGAAGCGCAGGAATCACAAGTCAATACCCCCCCGACCGCACCCCCCCTGTTTGCCCCCCCTGTGCTCTCAGCATGGTTGCTGCGTGCTCCGCCACTCTCAGCGCCTCCCCTCCCGCTGCTGCTAAGATGGAAGAGAGGGAAGGGAAGGAGGGAGGAGAGTATAGCTAAGATGGGAGGGAGGGAAGGGAAGGAGGGAGGAGAGTATAGGGCATCAAGAAATGAGAAGCCAGAGGCCATGAGCTGTCAGCATTGTGGCTCCATGTTATTAGACGCTGAGCTGACCATTGCCGTCCATGTGATGCGGTGTTACCATGTAACCATGCGTAACACCCGCACCCCTCCTACCACCCAGCCTCACCATCCGGCCCCTACCTCGCAAGGCGCGCGTATTGGAAAGCAAGCATCTCTTTCGCAAGCCCTGTAACCACCCACCTGAACAGACGCCTGCACGCCTCAACAGCTGCACCCCCCCTACCCCGCCTATCCAGCCTCACCATCCGACCCCTCCCTCGCAAGGCACGCGTGTTGGAAAGCAAGCATCTCTTTCGCAAGCCCTGTAACCACCCACCTGAACAGACGCCTGCACGCCTCAACAGCTGCACCCCCCCTACCCCGCCTATCCAGCCTCACCATCCGACCCCTCCCTCGCAAGGCACGCGTGTTGGAAAGCAAGCATCTCTTTCGCAAGCCCTGTAACCACCCACCTGAACAGACGCCTGCACGCCTCAACAGCTGCACCCCCCCTGCCCCGCCTACCCATCCTCACCATCTGACCCCTTCCCTCGCAAGGCACGTGCGTGCGGGCACCATCTCATCTGTAAGACTCTGTCGCGAGTAGCGACCCCACCCCACCTGCACGCCTCGCCACGTGCACCCCGCCAACCAGCCTCACCATCTGACCCTTCCCTCGCAAGGCACGAGTGGGCGAAGGCAATCATCTCGTCAGCAAGCGATTGCTGCGTCCCCCCTCCTGCCCCCGATCCGCCATCTCCGCTACTAGCTGCTCCGCTACAAGCAGCGGGAGACGCTGAACCGGCAAAGGCTGCATAAAGGCGAGCACCCGAGGCGAAACTTCTCGTCCCGATAGTAACAAACTCGTTAGGATCACTGCGGAAGCCGCTTGTCAGCGGAAAGAGAGCAGCGCACGCGGGAAGCAGGGGAAGCGGTCTAGCTGGTCCAGCTAGCAACGGCAACTGCTTGCCGTCAGGATGAAATCGTCCGTCAAGTCTGACGGAGCCGTCTGCCAGCTGGACCCGATCCGTTCCAGAATCAGGTGTGGGATAAACTGGCAGCAGGATGCTGGCGAAGCCCGGGGATTGTAACGACGGATGTGACTGTAAGCGAAGCAGCCGGGTGGCTGTTCTGGCGGCCGAACGAGAAATTGTTGCGCCTGGCGCCATGCTGTGAGATGTCGCTCCAAACTTGACTTCGACGTTGAAGATTGCGTCGGGGTTTGGAGTCTATTTTTCAGGCGCCTCAAAAATCGCGCAGGGGGTTGGAAAACCTGAGAGCCACCCCAAGAGCGCACACAGCCCTACTAGTAACCACGCGCGTGGATCGATTCGAGTTTACGACAGACGCGCTACGACGAAGGACCATCGAGATTAGAGACGTGCGCCTAGATAAGCTGCTAGGTTATGAATTTGCTGCAGTGCTCAGTTGCCTGTCATCCCTGTTATTGGCAGCACCAGTCGCTAATGCTTAGGGCACATTTGTTCAACACGTGGTGTAGAGAGTACTCTGTATATGCTTCGTTGTGAAAACGCTCACAGACGCGTTTCGGTAAGTGTACCGGAAATATTATCAATCTTCCTCCTTTTCTGGAAGGCTTGGGAACATCTTCACACAGCCACCAGAATTGGTGACGTGGCAGTTGCGTGCCTGGCTCCGAAGAAAATTCGAACCTTCTGGGCCGTGCAAAAGTTCCACAGTTGAAGCCTCCGCCGCCGGAACAAATTTCGCCAACGAATCATTCCCCTATAGTGACATTGATGGTGCTATAGCGAAAGGTTCTGGTTCTGTCTCTTCTGCTTCTGGTTTCGCTCTCCAGCTGCTTCTTGCTCCGGGAATTCCGTCTGTACTTGCTTCTCTGCTCATTCAGCTGCCTCATTTGTTGCCTGGTCAGCTTGTCTACCAGCTCCGTCGTTGCACCCATCGCTCCTGCGTTTTCGCTGTAGCGTCTCTTATAATCTCTGGCCTGAACACCCTTTCTGGCCAGTGCTCTTTGTGCTTATAGCGCCTCGAATCTTTCCTCGTTGACGGAGCTTACCTCGTTATTCGCCAGATCGTGTCCACCCGTTCATCCTTAGCATTTCCGATCCACCGTCCATTTCGCCTTGATCCGAGCGTCTCCACTACTCAGATCCGATCCTCTCCACGTCGATCAGCGAATCTTGGGTTTCAGATCAGCGCTACAGCCATGTTTAGGAGTCTTCTGCGGGTGGCGCCGGCTGTTCGGGCCGCTGCAGCCCGGTCGTCCACGTCCAGTGGGAGCAGCAGCCACAGGTGCGTTGCTGATGCGATTAACCTGTGGTACGGATTCATGGATTCACTTACGCCGTTGTTCTTGCTCAGGCTACGTTTTGCTTTCTTGCTCCTTCTGATTCTCAGATCCTAATTCTCCGCTCCCTGTTTTCTGTTCGGGATGCATGGACTTTTGGATCGCTATTTGGGACGATGCGAATGACGCCGCTGTCTCTGCGAGGTGTTGTTTGTTTCGTGCTCGACGTGCGGGCTTCGGGGGTTCTTGTTTTCTGGATCGCGGACTGCCACGCTCCGCTCAGAGTCGCACAGGTACCGCAAGAACGGCACAGTCTCGTTTTGTTCGCCCATATTCTCCTTCCTCATCTGCATCATCCTCCATGATCCTTCATCATCCTTCATCATCCTTCATCATCCTTCATTACCTTTCATGATCCTTCGAAATCCTTCATGATCCGGCATAATCTTCCATAATCCTTCACTGTCATTCATATTCCTGCATAATGTTCCATAATCCGTCCCAATCCTTTAAATTTTATCATATTCCTTCATTCTCCATCATCATCCTTCATGATCCTGCATGATCCTCGACCGTCACGACTCATCGTCATCTTTTCCCCTCGCGACACTTCTCTCTACCCGGTTCACCCAGCCAGCACCAATGGCAGAGGTGTTATGCCGCCAAGGACATTCGCTTCGGCGTGGAGGCACGTGTGCCCATTCCGCCTGAAGACTCCCTTCTCATTTTCTTCCCTTTCCATTGTCCCCCACCCACCCCCCCGTCGCCGCTACCAGCACCAATGGCAGCGGGGCTATGCCGCCAAGGACATCCGCTTCGGCGTGGAGGCACGGGCCGCCATGCTGCAAGGGGTGGAACAGCTCGCTGACGCCGTGCGGGTTACCATGGGACCCAAGGTACGGTTACGGTAGCGGGTTACCATGAACCCCAAGGCACAATTACCTTGCGGGTTACCTAGGGTCCCTCCCAAGTGGAGGTTACGAGACATCAGAGCAATATAGCGCTGAGAACGTGGTTTCTCCTATGGACTTCGCTCGCCAATGTATTGCTGGTGGCGCCACGCTCGTGACATCTTGCCACCTGAATGTGAATCGGTCGTGCCTCGCCCTTCTTCCAAGATGGACACGGCGGCACACGGCTCGCCCAGGATGCTTCAAGAGAATTCTCGAAAACAAAAGTTGTCCTTCTTCCGAGGCGCACGGCTCGCCCAGGATGCTCCAGGAGCTTCGAGTTCAAAGACAAGCTGAGGAACCTCCTGCTTCCTTGCTTCATGCCTCTCCTTCCTTTCCCCCTCCCCCCCACTAGGGTCGGCAAGTGGTGATCGAGCAGCCGTACGGGTCGCCCAAGATTACCAAGGACGGAGTCACCGTGGCGCGGAGCATCGAGTTCAAGGACAAGCTCAAGAACCTCGGCGCCAGCCTCGTCAAGCAGGTGGCGTCCACCACCAACGACACGGCGGGCGATGGCACCACGTGCGCCACCGTGCTCACGCGCTCCATCCTCCTGGAGGGGTGCAAGTCCGTGGCGGCGGGGATGAACGCCATGGACCTCCGGCGGGGGATTTCCCTGGCTGTGGAGCGGGTGATCGAGCTGCTCAAGGAGCGGTCCAGGCGCATCAGCACGTCCGAGGAGATCGCTCAGGTGGGTGGGTGGGTGGGTGCGTGGGTGTGGGTAGGTGGGTGGGTGGGTGTGGGTAGGTGGGTGGGTGGGTGTGGGTAGGTGGGTGGGTGGGTGTGGGTAGGTGGGTGGGTGGGTGTGGGTAGGTGGGTGGGTGGGTGACTGCTGATTGACGCGCTCCATCCTCCTGGAGGGGTGCAAGTCCGTGGCTGCGGGGATGAACGCCATGGACCTCAGGCGGGGGATCTCGCTGGCCGTGGAGCGAGTGATCGAGCTGCTCAAGGAGCGGTCCAGGCGGATCAGCACGTCCAAGGAGATCGCCCAGGTGGGTGCATGATTGGGAGTACAAGACTGAGTGGCTGGGCGTGCATGCTTGAGAATAAATTATTTGGTGTGCGGGCTTGTTTCCCTGACCTCTTTCCTGATCCTCACTGCCTCTCCCTGCGAACCTTGCTCCACTTCACTGCAAACCCGGCATGTTTTCAGATCGCGTGATAGGAGTCTAGTTTTGAGGCGTGGTAGGCGCCTCAAAACTACACTGCAAACCCGGCATGTTTTCAGATCGCATGTTTTCAGATGAAACTAATCAATGTGTGAGCGGGCTTGTCCGACCTCGTTCCTGATCCGCACTGACACTGCCTCCTCTCGTTGTGAACCTTGCTCCACTTCTGCCAGGTTGGCACCATCTCGGCCAATGGCGAGAGGGAGATCGGAGATCTGATTGCGCGGGCCATGGAGAAGGTCGGCAAGGAGGGCGTCATCACCGTCGCGGTAAGTTGATTTCTCTTAGTAAAGTGATTGGTCTTTGTTGCCCATGGATTCGACTCCTTATGAGTGATCTGTTTGATGCCGAAAACCTTGACCTGAACTCTGGTTGTTTGCTGCGTGGTTGGCTTATAACAGGACGGCAAGACGCTCTATAACGAGTTGGAGGTGGTGGAGGGGATGAAGTTCGACCGCGGCTACATCTCGCCCTACTTCATCACCAACCCCAAGACGCAGAAATGCGTAAGTGCTTCTTTCAGTCTACGGTCTCGGGGTTTAGTAAACCGCGTCGAGGTTTTAGTCACAACCGCCATGTCATCTCGCCCTACTGCATCGCCAACCCCAAGACGCAGAAATGCGTACGTGCTGCTTTCAGCTGAATCTCTAAGTCAAGGGTTGGAGGTTACGGGGTTCAGGGTTTTAGAGGGTTTGATGTTCCAGTCAGCGGCTGTGCTGCTTCAGCTCAGGTGCACGCCAGTTCCACCTCTCACATTCCGTCGCCTCTTCATTTAGCCCCAAGCTACCCTCCAACCCCCTGTTCCTCCCCCAACCCTCCCCCTCCCTTTCTCCCCTCCTGAGGAGCTAGAGAAGCCCTTGCTTTTGGTGCAGGAGCAGAAGATTGCTGGACTCTCTTCTTTTCATCCACCCCTTTCCCCCCTTCCTCACCCCCGCATCCTCCCCCCCCCCCCCGCCCCCCGAAGGAATTGGAAAACCCCCGGGTTTTGGTGCATGAAGAGAAGATGGCGGGACTCGGCTCATCTCATCTGCCCCCTCTTCCCGTTTCCACCTCTCGGCCCCCTCTCCCTCGCCACTTTTCCGTCCCCACAGGAATTGGAGAACCCCTTGGTGCTGGTGCACGAGAAGAAGATCGCGGGACTCAGCTCCATCCTGCCCGTCCTAGAGATCGCCCTCAAGGTAACCTTCTGTGCACGGATGGATAACCATTGAAGCACGGATGGATAACCATTGAAGCACGGATGGATAACCATTGAAGCACGGATGGATAACCATTGAAGCACGGATGGATAACCATTGAAGCACGGATGGATAACCATTGAAGCACGGATGGATAACCATCGAAGCACGGATGGATAACCATTGAAGCACGGATGGATAACCATCGAAGCACGGATGGATAACCATCGAAGCACGGATGGATAACCATTGAAGCACGGATGGATAACTGTTGAAGCACGGATGGATAACCGTTGAAGCACGGATGGATAACCGTTGAAGCACGGATGGATAACCGTTGAAGCACGGATTGGTAAACCGTTCCGTTCCAGGTTGTAATCAACTCGGCTTCTCCCCCGAACCTTTTGCGTTTCCTGGTTCCGTCCATACCCACCTCGTCAAGCTGGTCCTGGAGAATTTCAAAAGACCAACTCCGCTCCATACCCACAACCCCCGCCTGAAGCTTTGTCAAACCCCGCCACGTCCACCCCGTTCCTCACTCCCCCTCCTCTCTCCTCTACACCCACCAGTACCAGTGCCTGCTGCTAATCATCACAGAGGACGTGGAGAGGAGAGCGAGGCTCTGGCCGCTCAACCACGTTTCACCTCCTCTCTCCGCTTCTCGGCTGCTGGCCTCCCCTCCCTTCCTTCTCCTTTCCTCTTTCTCCCCTTTCACTCCAACAGTACCAGCGCCCGCTGCTGATCATCGCAGAGGACGTGGAGAGCGAGGCTCTGGCCACCCTGGTCGTGAACAAGCTCAGGGCGGGACTCAAGGTGAGCGGGATGAGATGGGATGATATGTTAGCGGGTGAGATGAGATGGGATGATATGTTAGCGGGTGAGATGAGATGGGATGATATGTTAGCGGGTGAGATGAGATGGGATGATATGTTAGCGGGTGAGATGAGATGGGATCATGTGTTAGCGGGTGAGATGAGATGGGATGATATGTTAGCGGGTGAGATGAGATGGGATCATGTGTTAGCGGGTGAGATGAGATGGGATGATATGTTAGCGGGTGAGATGAGATGGGATGATATGTTAGCGGGTGAGATGAGATGGGATGATATGTTAGCGGGTGAGATGAGATGGGATGATATGTTAGCGGGTGAGATGAGATGGGATGATATGTTAGCGGGTGAGATGAGATGGGATGATATGTTAGCGGGTGAGATGAGATGGGATGATATGTTAGCGGGTGAGATGAGATGGGATGATATGTTAGCGGGTGAGATGAGATGGGATGATATGTTAGCGGGTGAGATGAGATGGGATCATGTGTTAGCGGGTGAGATGAGATGGGATGATATGTTAGCGGGTGAGATGAGATGGGATGATATGTTAGCGGGTGAGATGAGATGGGATGATATGTTAGCGGGTGAGATGAGATGGGATGATATGTTAGCGGGTGAGATGAGATGGGATGATATGTTAGCGGGTGAGATGAGATGGGATGATATGTTAGCGGGTGAGATGAGATGGGATGATATGTTAGCGGGTGAGATGAGATGGGATGATATGTTAGCGGGTGAGATGAGATGGGATGATATGTTAGCGGGTGAGATGAGATGGGATGATATGTCAGCGGGTGAGATGAGATGGGATGATATGTTAGTGGGTGAGATGAGATGGGATGATGTGTCAGCGGGTGAGATGAGATGGGATCAAACGAGGGGTGAATGTGGAGTTGGATATGAATAGATGTGGGCGTTGGGGGAGCTGTCGTGAGGGGTCAAGGCAAGGGGTGATGTGGCTCTGGCCACTCTGGTCGTCAACAAGCTCCAGGCTGAGCTCAAGGTGCGAACAGCTGAGGGGGGGTGGGGGATCCATCTGGGGTGACTTTTGAGGCGACGCAAATAAAGGTGAGAATAGCTGGGGGGGGGAGGGCTCCATGTGGCGTGAAGACGAGGCCTTTTTGGAGCGAGTTGAGGGGAGGCGCCATGCGTGGTGAGTGAGACGAGATATGAAACGCATGCGAAGGTTTCCTGGAAGTGCTGAGTAGCAATGACCGCATTCTGCTGGCTTCTGGATCTTGGTGGTTGCAGGTGTGTGCGGTGAAGGCGCCTGGGTTCGGCGAGAACAGGAAGAACAACATGATTGACATCGCCACGCTCACCGGCTCGCAGGTGCGTACATAGCATTTGGATTCTCTGTGCAAGCAACAACACACCTCCCCCCCCACCCTCCAACCCCCCAAAACTTCCCTGTGTGTGGTGTTAGTTGCTGAGTGAGGAATCACTGGTCGTTTTTTCTCCCCCGCACATGCTTTATCCCTCCCTCCCCCGCCCCACGCTCCCCATCTCTCCCCGCCTCTGCACCCTTCCCCTCACGTGCGCAGCTCATCAGCGAGGACCTGGGCTATTCCTGTGTTTTTGCTCTAACTCACCCTCCCCCTATCCTCCCCCCCCTTCCCCCCGCCCCCCTCCCTCTGCTCTTTCGGCTCGCAGCTCATCAGCGAGGACCTGGGCTATTCCCTGGAGAAGGTGGATGTGTCGCACCTGGGGTCCGCCAAGAAGGTGAGGGGAAGGGGAGGGGTGAAGGAGGAATTGACGCTCGCGTGCGCGCGTGCGTGAAAGTGGGGCAGGGAGAGGACGGATGGAAGGGCCGGCAGCTCATCAGCCAGGACTTGGGGTATTCACTTGAGAAGGTCCATGGGGGGGGTGGGCGTTGATGCTCGCGTGCGTGCGTGAAAGAGAGGCAGGGAGTGGAAGGGTTGTAGCGCTGGCAGCTCATTAGCAAGGACCTGGTTGATCCCCTCGAGAAGGTTGACGTGTCGCACCTGTAGTCTGCAGAGAAGGTGGGTGAGAAAAGGGGAGAGTAGTGGTTGGTGGGTTCTTGAGACGAAGGGGTGTTGTCAGCGGTGTGGGGGCGTTGCCAGCGGTGTGGGGGTGTTGTCAGAGATGAATGGGAAGGCACGAGGCTTTGAGGCTGGGAAAATGGACATAGGAGGGGGGATGGGGTGGGGAACTTACTTGGTCCATTCAAGGCAATGGGTGAGATGCGTTCTGCATTTTTTTCCGCTGATTAATTTTTTATGTTGGTGGGCTCATGCCATTTCTCGTGGCTGTGCGTGTGTGCCAACGTGTGCCGTCAGGTGACTATATCGAAGGACGACAGCATCATTCTGGATGGTGCCGGCGACAAGAAGGCTCTGGAGGAGCGGTGTGAACAGGTGAGGAGTGGTGCGAACAGGTGAGGGGGCGGTGAGAACAGGTGGGAGGCAATGCGAGCAGGTGCGAAAGGAGGGGGTGAGGGGAAAAGCCAGCTAATGACAGAGAACCACAGGCCGTGCAATGCCCATCACGTGGGTAGCTTGCTTGCTCTTCTCGTGTTGGAGCCTGGGATGATTCCCAGAGTGCCCTCACCTCACTCGCACTGACTCCCAAGTGCTTGCTTTGCCTTTTCTTCTCTCTCCTCAGATCCGGGAGGCCGTGGCCAACGCCACGTCGGACTACGACAAGGAGAAGCTGCAGGAGCGCCTGGCGAAGCTGTCTGGCGGTGTGGCCGTGCTCAAGGTGGGCCACGATGTGGGTGCTGGGGGGTGCGGGATGCGGGGTGTGGGGTGTGGGGTGTGGGGTGTGGGGTGTGCGGTGTGCGGTGTGGGGGTTGTGGGTTTTGAAGCATGCGTGACGGAAGGTGGGCTGTTGTCAGGCTATTCCCTCCCATATGCTCTCCCATATGCTCTCCCATGTGCTCTCCCATGTGCTCTCCCATATGCTCTCCCATATGCTCTCCCATATGCTCTCCCATATGCTCTCCCATGTGCTCTCCCATATGCTCTCCCATATGCTCTCCCATGTGCTCTCCCATACTATGTACCCCTATGCCACCCCTTCCACCCCTCTGGCATGTGTCTTATCCATCATGTGCTACTGTGCTCTCCCCGGTGCTCTCCTCTGTGCTCTCCCCGGTGCTCTCCCCTGTGCTCTTCCCGGTGCTCTCCCCTGTGCTCTCCCCTGTGCTCTCCCCTGTGCTCTCCCTGGTGCTCTCCCCTGTGCTCTCCCCGGTGCTCTCCCCGGTGCTCTCCCGTGTGCCCTCCCGTGTGCTCTCCCGTGTGTGTGCAGATCGGGGGGGCGAGCGAGGTGGAGGTGGGGGAGAAGAAGGACCGGGTGACGGACGCGCTCAACGCCACCAAGGCCGCAGTGGAAGAGGGCATTGTGCCGGGCGGGGGTGTGGCGCTGCTGTACGCGTCCAGGGACCTGGACACCCTGACCGCGGAGAACTTCGACCAGAAAGTGGGCATCCAGATCATCCGAGACGCGCTCAGGGTGAGTTGCCTCTTCCATATGTGTGTGTCACTAGTGAGTTGACACTAGTGGCTGTGTGCGTCTTGGGTAATGGGGGCTCTGCTGTAGGCGTCCAGGGACCTGGGCTGGACACGCTCACTGCTGAGAACTTCAACCAGAAAGTGGGGATTCAGATCATCAGAGACGCACTCAGGGTGAGTTGCCTCTTCCTTCCTCCCCCTCCCCCCCCTCTTTGCGGTGAGTTCCTCTCGTTCTGTCTCTCGGACCAGTTTTGTCTGTCTCTGTGACTTTAACCACCACTCAACGCCACCAAGCCGGCCATGGAGGAGGGCATAGTGCTGGGGGTGGGTTGGGGGGGGGGGAGGGGGAGGGGGTGGCTGTGCTGTAGGGTTCCAGGGACCTGGACATCTGACTGTTGGGAATTTTGACCAGAAAGTCAGCATCCAGATCGTCAGAGACGCGCTGAGCGTGAGTGGTGCAGGTAGCAGTGGTGCAGGTAGCAGTGGTGCGTGGGCAAGCTGCTGCAACAGAGCAACCCCTTCCTCCCTTGTGCTCCCTTCCTGCCTCTTCCCATCTGTCAGACCCCAGCGCTGACCATCGCCACCACGGGGGGGTGGAGGCGCAGTGATGGTGGGGAAGGCGCTGGAACAGAGCTATTCAGCAACTTGTCAGATCGTGAACAAGCGGATCAGGAGCAACCTGCCTCTCCACTTGTCCCGATCCGCAGTTCATCCGCTGGTCCTTCCACGTCTCTCACACCCCCCCCCTCTTCCCCCCTTCCCCCCCGCTCCCTTCCCAATTCCACCCTCTTCCTGTCAGACCCCAGCCCTGACCATCGCCAACAATGCGGGTGTGGAGGGAGCAGTGATTGTAGGCAAGCTCCTGGAGCAGAGCAACCTGGACTGGGGCTACGATGCTGCCAAGGGTACGCACTGGTCGAGAATGATGCTTTCAATCACATGTTTTGCTATGGGGTGTTTGAGTCAGACTCGTAACACACCAAGCTCCTGGAACACAGCAACCTGGACTGGGGCTACGTCGCTGCCAAGGGTATGCACTGGTCTAGACTCTGGCGTTTTCACTCGCATGTGTTGCTGTGATGCGCTTTGATTTGACTCACGACACACCAAGCTCCTGTAGCAGAGCAAGGGGCTATGGTGCCGCTGTCCTGTATCCCCGCCCTCTTTCCCGACTCCCTCCCCACCCTCCAGGCGACTAAGTAGACATGGTGAAGGCAGGCATCATCGATCCCCTCAAGACCATGAATGGGATTTTCGAATCACTATCTCAATCCCCCTAACCCCTCACACACCCGCACTCAGGTGGGAATCATTGACCCCCTCAGTGTCATTAAGGTGACCTTTGAATCACGGTCTCAATCCCCCCCACCCCTCACACACCCACACACCAGGCGAGTACGTGGACATGGTAAAGGCGGGGATCATCGACCCGCTCAAGGTGATCCGCACAGCGCTGGTGGATGCTGCCAGCGTGGCGTCCCTCATGAGGCTGCTGTCCTGTATCCTCTCCTTCCCCTTCCTCCCCTTATGCCCTACACCCGCCTTCCCTACTCCCCCCCCCCCTACAGGCGAGTATGTCGACATGGTGAAGGCAGGCATCATCGACCCACTCAAGGTGATCCGCACGGCGCTGGTGGACGCTGCCAGCGTGGCGTCCCTCATGACCACCACTGAGGCGGTGGTTGTGGACCTTCCGGAAGATGCCAAGCCTAACCCCATGGCGGGGATGGGTGGCATGGGCGGCATGGGCGGCATGGACTACTAGACGTGATTTAGGGTTGATGCTGCCAACGTGGCGTCATTTTTTATCGCCACCGAGGCCGCCGTCGTCGGGGTGGCATGGACTAGACAGGTGGTTTGGATTGGATGGCAGGGATTATCAGTTGGACACAAGAGAGGATCTAACCAGGGAGACGCAAAGCTGACAACATTGATTGTGTGAAGCAAGGTGCGGGGGTGGGTCTGCATTAGAACACAAGCAGTAGGCCTAGTATGAGCATAAATTTTAGTTGGCACCTTGCTGTGCCCTGCCCTTAGTTTGGGGGGGGAGAGCAAAGCTCCAAGAGGATTTGTGTGCCTCTTCTTCACAATGCAGAGTTTTCTTCACATTCAACTGTGAGAACACTGATACTAATGCCACAACCGTGCAGGTGTGCGTCCAACCTAGCGGATATGGACTGTTGCTGCGTTTCGACTTGGACATTGGTGTAGGCAATTTGTTGAGAATTTTAGATTGCGGGTACCTCGTCAACGCTTGGTCACTGTAGTCATGTCAGGTGCGAGCGGTTGTGTCAGACCTTGGCCTCGGAATCATCGCAGAAAGACGGAAGAAACTATCATCCGTCTAGTTTCGCCAATCACGGCACTCTAAGGGGTCCCGTGAAAGTGTGTTTTGCTCTGTTCCACGTTTTGAATGGGCCCCGTCAATATTTTCCGCCAGGATTGTGCTGCAAAGCGCATCGGTACATTCGAGCCGTCTGGTGGTAACCAGCAATTCGGCCGGCCAATCCCCGTTTGAATCTCATCCATATGCGTCGCGCTTCGCGTCGCTATGCGAATCGAAGTCTCCTTACCTTTCCCTAGCCTGCCCGCGTCCAACACGAAGTGCCAAGTCTGTGCGACAGTAAGAACATCGCCCTGCCAGTTTCTGCTGTCAAAGCCAAAATCCAATTCGTCTGACACCAAGGGAAGCGTCGCAGAGCTTGCAAGGAAGCCATTCCCGCCAGTCGCAAAACAATCGCAGGGCCCATTGGCGCTCCGCCAAATGGTCCGTTCCGTTCCGTTCCCTGCTCTCAGTTGCCAAGCCAGCTCCATCCATCCGCCAGCAAATTCTGAGAAGCGAGTCGCGCATTCACCCACGACATTTCACCTTGTGCTCGGCCCGACGCGAGCCTCCTACATGCGTTTCAGGCATACCTTCACTCGTCCTAGAGGGTCTGCCAAGTTGAGTTCACTGCTGACGATCTCACGTCACGTCGAAGCCAGCAGCCTACTTATCCAAACCAGAAACGCAAAAAGCTTGCTTGTTTTGATTTCACATCAATCGACACGGGCACCGTTCGATTTGTCGAGGTGGATTTCTTTCAGCGAACGAAAGTGACATACTAGCGACACCCACAATCCCCAGCACCTTTTTCCGAACGCAGGGACGTCATAGATGGTTTCAATGGCAGGATCCAGCTCGACACCGCGCCGTTTACCGTCGCATACTCTGGCGCTCATCTTGGCATGCGCACTTGTGGCAGTGTTTCCGGCTGCTATAGAATCCGCCTCTTTCGGCGACACGGGGCGAGCAACGGCAACCTTTTACGGCAGTGGCGATGGTGAGAATAAAATTTCCGAAGCTACTTGGTTTGGTCCGAACTTACTAGCGACCCGTAGCACAGCTAGTATCACGCGCTCGTTTCACTTTCGCCAAGCTTTCACCTTTCGCGCTGTAGCTCTATGTAACACTTTTTCACTCACACCGGTCGCATCTCCACACCAATGACGTGCTGACAGGTGGCAACTGCGGATACGGCGTGCTTGCCGAATCCGGCTACGGCCCACTCATCGCGGCGGGAAGTGCGCCGCTTTACAAGGGCGGTAAAGGCTGCGGCGCCTGCTACAAGTGAGCATCGTCCCTTCCACTTTCACCATCCTCCCTTGACTACGATTCATCCATTCTTCCTGACCTCGTTTTTTTCCCAAAAACGTTTTTTTTTTTTCTTCCTCTCGTTTTGCTCTTCCTTCATCAAAATCGTCCACCCATTTATGACCCCCGCTTTCCCCTCCAATGAGTGCGCTGCGTGGACAGCAAGTGGTGCGAGGACGCGGAAATCACGGAGCCCATCACCGACTTTTGCCGCACTCCCTCGTCTCACCCGCATGCGATCTCCTCCTCCCCTCCTTTTCCCCTTCGCTCCCTCCGCAGAGTGCGCTGCGTGGACAGCAAGTGGTGCAATGACGCGGAAAAAAAACCCTCATTATATCCGAATGAGTCTCAACCACCCTCCTCCCCCACCTTCTTTCTCTCCGCAGAGTGCGGTGCGTGGACAGCAAGTGGTGCAAGGACGCGGAAATCACGGTGCCCATCACAGACTTCTGCCCGGGCGGCGGCGTGTGCTGCCCCACGTGCACGCACTTCGACCTCAGCCAGCCCGCGTTCGGCATTATCGCGGACCCAGTAGCTGGGGTCATCCCGCTCGCTTACCAAAGGTGAGACCAGATAACTTCACCAGTAAAGTGGGAGGGATTAGGGAGGGATTGGGGAGGGAGTGAGAGCATGCCTCGGTGCTGCCCCACGTGCACGCACTTCGACCTCAGCCAACCCGCCGGGGTACCTCGCGCTTACCTCATTGGCATTGCATCTAAATACCTATTTTATTCTAACTCTCTGCCTCCCTCCTGTTTATAAATTCCATCGCAGGGTGCCCTGCTCGTTCCCCACGTCCATCACCTTCCGCGTGACCGGCACCAACTACTGGATGAACGTGCTGCTGCTGCGCGTGGGCGGACCGGGGGAGGTTGCTCTGGTGGAGGTCTCATCTAAGAACGACCCCAACTGGCGCCCGCTCATGCACGACTGGGGCACGAATTGGGTCAGCTACAGTTATATCGAGGGGCCGTTGAAGTTTCGGCTTACATCGGGGATGGATGGAGCTGTGATTACAACGGGGGAGAATTGCGTTCCGGCGATTTATCCTGGTGATTACACTTGCGGCGCGCAATTTACTAGTGGTTATAACAGTTCTGATACTGGGGGGGATGGTGGGAGCAACAGCGGCGTGGGCAACAGCACCAACGCAGCTGACAACAAGAGCAACGACAATGGCAATAGCGGGAATGCCAATAACGGGGGCAACCTAAATAGTGACAGCAACAATGGCACGAACAGCAGCAGCAGCAGCAGCGGCAACAACAGCCCGCCAGCAACACCGTCTGCACCAGCCCCGCCTGAAGACCCGTCCTTAGGACGAAGCAGCATTGCTGGTGGCGGCACTGCCACTGGTAACCCTAATGGTAACCCCAATGCTGACGTGCCCTTTACCGCCCCAGCATCTGTGCCTTCTCCCAGCTTCCCGGGCGGAGGCCGCAAAGTCAATGCAGGGGGAGGCAGCAGTGGTGGTGGTGGCAGCAGCACGGGCAATGACGGCAGCACTGGCAGTCAAGGCAGTCACAGCAGCGGCAGCAGCGGCAGCAGTGGCGGCAGCGGCAGCAGTGGCAGCAGCGGCAGTAGCGGCAGCAGCGGCAGCAGCAGCAGCAACGGCAGCAGCGGCAGCAGTGGCAGCAGCGGCAGCAGCGGCAGCAGTGGTGATGCTACACCATTCCCCCCCCTCCCCCAGACCACCCCCTCCACCCTCGTCCCTTCCCAAACCTCTGAAGACGTTCCTATTGGCTCCCAGACCACAGGCGGTGTGACGATACCGAACGGGAGCTACAGTATCGCCTCCAGTGGAGCCGCTAGCAGCAGTGCTCAAGTGGGAGCAGGCGGCGCTGTAGCAGGGGCAGGGGCTGCTGGTAACACTGTAACGGTTGGAACAGTGAAACGTGGAAAGAAGGCTGGAGCCGGGCAAGCAAATATAGTGGTGAAGACAGGGGGGAGACATCCTGTAGGGAAGGGCCATAGGGCTCCGGGTAAAGGGCACCATGTGAAGAACCAGAACGTCTTGAACCGGTAACAGTGGGGCTGGTAACACTGTAACGGTTGGTGTTGCAAATTGGGGTAAGGGCTGGTAGTGGAGTGGTGACGACAGGGGGCAGACAGACACCCTTTGGGGAGGACACATAGGGCTCCGGATAAGGGGCACCATGTAAAGAACCAGATTGTTTTGTCCCGGTAACACGGCTAGGGCCAGCCGCACACAGTGGTGTGTCACACGACCCGGCAACACTTGGCCTGGTTATAAGTAACACGTGTGGCTGATATTGTAGCGTTACGACATATTACAGCTCCATAGGTATGGTGCCAGGTGGATCGATTATGCCAGTAGATGTTCATGGAAGAGGCAGCAACTAGCCGATAGTAGGTTGCTTGCGTGGCAACCTTGACCCGTGTAGGATTGTAAGACATTTATACCCCAATGTGTAAGGCAACTATTGAGGCCCTGCCTCGCAATGCTCCTGCTGCCCTCAATTGTGTGATTGGTTAAATAGAAATGTGAATTAGAAAGCCTTTCAGATTTGCATTTATATACAATTGCCATGAGCACCGTGAGGTTACAGCAAACCTCACAACATGCGAGCCCTTGTAATGAAATTCCTTTTTCCTTACTGCGCTCGAAACAGCGCGTATGTCCTCAACTCTCGGAAGTCCAGGCTCGGCCAACTTCTTCGGTCCCGAACCACTTTTCGAACCCAAACCTCAACGTGTGGCGCTGCTTCCGTAGCTTTCGCCACCTGGACTGCCCCAACCTGTTCGTGTGGTTCTCGGCTAGCCCTGTTCGTGCCTATAAATGCCGAGGCCCTCATTTGTATCGACACTCTTGAATCACGACTCCTTTGTTACACTACCTGTTATTACTCTGATTAATCCATAACAGATGGAATCAGAGCCCCGTTCCTTCCCGCTTAGTCTTCCGTAGAGTAGTCTGTTTATAGCGGGAGAGGACCCTGTTAAATTATATATGTTAGTATATAATTGTAGGCTTGGTAGTGGTTATTGAACATTACTCTAGAGGGTACAACACCCCTCCTTGTACCCCTCTCTCTTCTTTCCTAGCTCTCTTTTCTCTCGACATTCTCCCCTACCTCCTAGATCTAGATTTCACGCCATATTCATGGCTCCTCATATTCCTACCTAGCCTAGCTTCACGATATGGTATCAGAGCAGGACGCCCTTCCTGGGCCTGCTCCCCTCCTCGCTTCCGCTGCGTACTTCCCTGTTCGCCGTCGTCGCGGCCTTCCTGCTGCCTGCCGCCGTGGCATCTTTTCCAAGATGCCGCGGCGGCCTTTGTGTGCTGTCGTCCCAGCGTCGACGAGCAGCCACGGCGCCGACGCCACGCTGTGGTGGTGTCGTCGTGGTGCCGTGGCTGTGTCGTCGGCCTGTTGCCGTCGCGCACAACCTGCGTCGCTGCTGGATTTGCAGCCCGCCCGCCCGCCAGTAAGCGCCGCGCTGAAGATCTGACGCCCCGCCCGTTCCCCCTTTCCTCTGTCCCCTCCTCTTCGCCACCGCCGCCGCCTGACTCTCGCCGGTCGTCCCCCTGTCGCGGAGTTTGAACATGCCGCCGGAAAGGCGGGGGCCGCTGCCGTTACCGCCGTCGTAAGCCGAAGCCGTCGCCGCTGTCGTCGCCGCAGGCCTGTTGCCGCCGCACGCCCGTCGTCGCCGTCGCTGTCGCCGCTACCGGAACGACCGCCGTCGCCATCTCCAGGGCCTTGGGGTTGGCCCTGCTTGAGTCGTCGTGGCTGATGGGAATGGGGGTGCTAGGTTAGGGGGTGTGGGGGTGTGTGGGTCCTTGCTACCAAGCCTAGGGGGTGTGTTAAATTATATATGTTAGTATATAATTATAGGCTTGGTAGTGGTTACTGAACATTACTGTAGAGGGCACAACACCCCTCCTTGTACCCCTCTCTCTTCTTTCCTAGTTCTCTTTTCTCTCGATATTCTTGCCTACCTCCTAGATCTAGATTTCATGCCATATTCATGGCTCCTCCTATTCCTACCTAGCCTAGCTACACGACAAGAAGGGCGTATACGACGTGACGTGCCTTGCTGAAAACGATTAAGCACAGCAGCGGAAAACGCCTCACGCTCAGCAGAGGTGGGGGCATCAGGGAGGGCAGCAGGGGCAGGGGGGCGGGGAAGCAGGCCATCGACATGAACAGCCAGCGAGTGACCATCTTGGCGCTGACCTGTAAGGTGACGCCGAAGGTCGACGAGCCACGCCTCAAAGTCGAGCGCCCGACCCTTTGCGTCCAGATGGAGCTTTGACTCTGCCATCACCATTGCTGTAGCTGCTGACGGCCGTTGACAAAGGGAGGAGAACAGGTAAAGGAAGCGGTGAAGAGGGTGGAGTGCGGTGTAATGTGGTGGAGTGCGGTGGAGTGCGATGGAGTGCGGTGAATTGCGGTGGAGGGCGGTGGAGAGCGGTGGAGTGCAGTGGAGGGTGGTGGAGAACGGTGGAGAGCGGTGGATACAGCCGGCAGGGAGGCCGGCGTTGAAGGGAGCCAGAGCCAGTGGGTTGGTGCTGGGGCTCAACGGTCCGGTGGGCGGCCACGGAAGCGGGGGCCGGCAAGGCTGGAGCCGGCTGGCTGGGCGACAGGCTGGCCGACTGGCTGACGAGGGCCGACGGGACGCACGGGTGCGAACAGGCCGGCAGGGGGCGAGCCGGGTTAGAGGGTCGCACGGGACCGACGGGGCGCTAACGGGCCGGGAGGGCGCGAGCGGGCCGGCGGGTCGCTAAGGGGCCGGTGGGACGAGTGGGGCCAGAGGGGCGCACGGGGCTGACTAGGCGCTAATGGGCCGGCGGGGAGCTGACGGGCCGGCTGGGTGCTAACGGGTCGACAGGGCACTAACAGGCCGGTGGGGCGCAGGGCCAGAGGGGCGCACGGGACCGACGGGGTGCTAACGGGGTCGGGAGGCACTAATGGGGCCGGGAGGGCGCTAATGGGCCGGAAGGGCGCTAACGGGCCGGCGGGGCGAGCATGGCCAGAGGGCGCACAAGGCCGACAGGGCGCTAACGGGGGCCGTGAGGGCGCATGGAACCGACAGGGCGATACGGGGCAGCTAGGAACGGGCGGCTAGGAACGGGCGGCTAGGGCTAGGACGAGAGCGGAAGCGCGGGTGGGCGGGGAGGACCTAACCTAGCGCATGATACCATCTCATAGTAGAAGAGTTAACTACAGTGGCGGAAAAATTGCCCGGATGTTTAGCACTTTAAAACATATCGCTATGCAACACTTGTTTCGAAAATAGTAACACCATTTTCTCCCCGTCCTGTTACAAGGGTTTCAAGTTCTGCTGCAACCATTTCTTGCTTGGCGCAATTGTGACACAACCGGAAAGCGGGGTTGATATTTACTCCTCGGCTATCGATGCGGACAGTTCATACCGAGCGACAGACTAGATCTATTTTCGCCCGTCACTCGGTGTGCACATCGTCACGCGCAACAGCTGCTAGTCTAGGAGTTAGTCCTGAAGCGAACCTACGACCGCTTCGCCATGAAGCCCGTAGATGACAAGAAGCGCGCGCGAATCATAAGCATGTTGCGCAAAGGGCATTTGACTAGGAAAATAACGAAAATTCTTGGCACAGGCAAGAGCACCGCGCACGATTACGGTTTGAAGGTGATTGCCGAGACTAGTCGCGATATGGTGCGACCCACGATGCCCACGGCCGGCTGCCCCCGCTTAATCTCAACCCGACTTCAGCGCGGAATAGTTCGAGCGATTACAAGCGGTGAGGCGAAAAGCAGTGTAGACGCCACAAAGATGTTGCAGGAGAAGCACGGTCTGGCTGTAGACTCGAAGACGGTCAGGAAATCGTTACGATCCGCGGGCTTGATCGCTGTGCAGCAGCCCAAGAAACCCAGGCTCTCACCGAAAAGTATACGTGATTGTCTCGATTTCGCGAGGTCGCATGCCGACTGGACGCTGGAGGAGTGGAAGCGGGTGATTTGGTCTGATGAGACTAAGATAAATCGTTGCTTCGACGGACGTGCGTACGCCTGGATTTGCGAGGGCACCAGCCTCCAGAGCCATCAAGTCCAACAGACAGTTAAGCATGGGGGCGGTTCTGTGATGGTGTGGGGTTGCATGACGTATGAGGGGGCGGGGTTCATGTGCAAGATAGATGGCAGGATGGATGGGCCGCTATATCGCAGCATCTTGCAAGATGAGCTCAAACAGACCATCGATTTTTTCAAGCTCCCCCCCTTAGAGGTCATTTTCCAGCACGACAATGATCCCAAGCACAGGTCCCGTCTGGTCCAAGACTGGCTTGGGGAGCAGGAGTACGCGGTGCTGGAATGGCCCTCGTCCTCCCCGGACCTTAACCCGATAGAGCACCTGTGAGCACTTGAGGATCAAGGCAGTGATTTGCGCAAAGGGACGATGGACTAGGTACTAGTTTTTCAAGAATCTAGTTTGCTGCCTGTCCTCAGTACAAATTGTCCGGATGTGCTCTTATGATATGCTTAGGTGTTTAAGGACCATGTATTATACTACTCTGGTATTTGTCGACTTGAATGAGTGCTCTAAGTGATCTTCTCAACATGTATGCACACCATAAATTAAGGCTTAATGTTTACACCGCTGCACTCATCAAAATGCAAAAAAATACTGAACATGTGGACAATCTTTTCCGTCACTGTAGAATGATGCATACAGGTTGATTTTGTGCAAGTGTTGTACCCTCTAAGAGCATGCACCTATCTAGCCTGTTATAACATATACAAATATGTTTGGCAGACCTGTACCCCGGGTCAGCTCGGCATACCTGTACCAATTTTCTGACATGCGGTCTAACTTTGCCCTCAATTCCTGTCCACTTTTCTTTCCCCAGCAATGAAATTTCGAACTCGGGTGAAACAGGTTTCGATTACGTACTGGCGACTGTCACCACTGGCAAAATAAGTCCCGGGCAAGATGGTTACTAGCTAACCGAAATGCATGTTTTTTTGCCGGAACCGGAATCCAAGTTTCACAGCTCACCTGCTTGCCCTCTCCTCCCCACCCCACCATCTTGCACCACCTTGGCTCCAGGATCTTCCCGCTAATCCCAATTTTATAGCCTGTACTCCCCGCAGCATTGACGCCGCAGTCGCCCAATTTTTTTAGTCAGCACAATAATTCCACGCGACGCGAGATAGGCTCGTGACCTGCGTAACGCAGCGGCCCGCGTTTCCCTGGCTCATCGTTTAATTTTTCCCCGCTGATGCCGCGCGCCAGCCTATTAAGCCCCAGTACTTCCAACTCTTAGGCACTTCACTCCAGCAGTACTGCTTCGACTCAGAATCACCTTCTTGGTTCCCAAACCGTCCAAGACATTCAGACATAGTTCTCAGAGAGCAGCAGATTCGCTTCCCTGCAGCTTCTCGCATCACGTCACTACACATCGTCACCTCTCGTCACGTCACGTGGATGCGCTACAATGAAATATCCGCCATGGCTCTCCAT